ATGAAAGGAGGAGAAGGAGACAGGGGTAGAATCGCAAGAACGAAATACTTTCTATCGCTATTGAATGAATTGTTGTATACACTTGGTTTACATACATGGAATGTCCAAATTAACTACTCAATGGGAATACGATTTGTAGGTTGTGAATGTGAATGAATGTGCAAAAAAAATCAGGAAGTGATCCCTTGTCATATCTGAGGTGAAAAAAATCAATTTTTATTCCAACAATCAACTGGGAGTATTGATTATGTTTTTATAATTTCTTGGATAAGCTTTCATGGTGGAAAAATTCAGTCTGGTTGGTGGTGACTGAGCTAGTCTCTAAACTTCAATGTTAATTACCTGAATCAATAAAAAACTGTGAAAAGGAAATGGAATTCAAAAAACAAATCAAAATATTTTTAGTTGGCAAAGTGTTTTATACTGTGAACGAGTTTTTGTGTACGTAATATTCCTATTTGTTATATACACTCATTAGTATGTAAGATTTCTAGTTTTTCTTTTTCTTCTTTAGTTCGTAAGTTTCATAGTTTCTTAGTATCTTTGACTATTTCTATACAATGTATGTTGTCAGTTATGGAAAATAAATGTTTTGATTGATTGATTGTTAAACGTATTGAGGTTATTAATCTCAATGAGTGTCTTGAGAGCACTTACCAAACAAATATTGAGGTCAAATCGAATTTTTATTGTATCCTCAAAAACTGAGTTAAGGTAAAAAAATTCAAATATCATCCAACGATGAAATTGGAAGTATTGATTATTTTCTATAATTCCCTGGATGAGCTTTTATGGTGGAAAAATTGAATCTGGTTGATGACTGACTAAGTCTCAAATTTTCAGTATGAAACTTCTTGAGGTTATTCATCTCAATGAGTGTTTGAGAGCACTTACATGCAAATATTGGGGTCAAATCGAATTTGTATTGTTTCCTCAAAAACTGAGTCAAGGTAAAAAAATTCAAATATCATCCAACGATGAAATTGGAAGTATTGATTATTTTTTATAATTCCCTGGATAAGCTTTTATGGTGGAAAAATTGAATCTGGTTGGCTGAGCAAGATACAAAATCAACATAAGGAGAAAGAAAATTGTATTATCGAATGTACAATGTACAAAGTAACACAAAGAGAAAGAAAGTTGTACTTTCGAAAGTACAATCTAATAAAAATATTACATTCGGGAACACCAGTGGCATACAATGATATTCACCATACATTACGTTGAAGTGACTCATTGAGATGCTACTGGAATTTTTATTTCGAATCAAATTACACCTAATCTCCCTGTAACTGATTTCTTATAGGGATTCATAAAGAAATACATTGTTCTAAATGATACTAATTTTGTTTTTTCAAAAAGAACACCCTGTATTTTGTTGTATGTTTGAATTATACATAAAATCCTGGAGGTATTGCATTTTCTATTTTCATTTCTCCAAGATATTAACGATCATTATACAGAAGTATCGATAATATGTATTAATATAAATTATATACGTATTGGAATATTGATACTTCGAACTTATCGATGTTTTGACTCTCGTGTTGACTTATCGATAAATGATAATTATATGGAATCCAATATCGCGTAGCCCTACTAATTATAGTAAGATTGTTAAAATGCTTTTTTTGAATATTAAGTTGAAAATTTCACCCGAAACGACGACCCGACAATGACTTTTGTCATATTATGTTGGGGATCAATCTAGCTATCCCTATCCGTCATCAATAATGACCAATGGGATCGCGTGCCCATCTCCTAATAGAATTGAAAAAGTGTGGATGGTAAATTGTGAAGGCCTCATTCACGGTTTTCCATCCACACTTAATGTTAGTGAACAGTGTTGCCAAATCGTGAAAGTGTGGATTATATTCTAATCTGATATCTACGAAGGTGAACTAAGATGAAAATGGAAATTGTTTCGTTTTGAAATTTGTTTCAAGAATTATTGTGAAACTGTCACATCTGACATTATCGACCACTTAAAAGCCTGTATTTTGTATCGATACTATAGCAACTGAACAAATTTCTGGAAATTTGTTTTGCACCTTAGAGGAAGAAGCATGAAATTACACTGGAAACTTACCGACCTACCGTACCGACTTATTTTTTATTTCATTTAACTAAAGTCGTTCAATCATATTTAATGTAACCTCATAATTTTCGAGTTTCTTGTGCGAAAATATATTTCTACCAACTTTGAGAAAATTAATTTGTGAAAAACTGCCAGAAATTGAGGTACTAATGCTACTATCGACTTATTTTTGATTATTTTGTATAAGTAACTAAACTGAGTTAATTGTGTTTTATTCAACCTAACAATGTTATGAAATATGAGTTATATCAATACCAAATACTGTCGAGTTCCTTGTTACAAAAGATAGTTTTCACCGACTCTACTGGAATGAAATTAGTGAAGAATAATACGACCAGCTTCCTTATGAATATTTTGTGTAACTCAAGTCGATATTTTCTATTTTATTTAGCTAAATCCTATCCTAGTATTTTTCAAATTTTGGTGTGGAATTTTCTGATTGCAAGATTGCAATTAATCTCATGAATCGAGCTAAATCTTGCTATGCGAATAAATTTATGTCTTACGTGTTTATCATTTGATTGAGCTAGCTGCTAGCTCTAATTGCAGAATTTATCATGGAAGCTAATTGCATTAATCTCACAATCAACTCAATCAACTGATCAACTCAAATCAAATTATAATAATGATGTTGCAGTGAGTTCGATCGGCATATCAATCTAAACTAAGTAATTGCAAGACTGAAACATGAATCTCGCAAATTGAGCTCAAAAGACATCAGATGAATCTTCACATTATTGAATCAGTCTAAATACAACTTATCTGTCACTGAGCTTCCTTTATTATTTTGTGAACCCAACTGATAACAATACCTATTTTTCAATCGGGGCTTGATTGACAGATGAAACTATGCTAATTTCAATATTCATTCGTGGATTGAGTTTTTTTCGATTTTCTCAATTGGAATAATGATCTAAAAATTAGTTTTATTGCAAAAATTCATCAGTCAACTGAATTCAAACAAACTTTTCACCAGAAAAAAAAAGGAAAATTGTTGAAATATTCAAATTTCCTTGCTAATATAAATCATATCCTGTCAATTATTGGAATTACCTAATATAAAAGCAATTGAAAAATGTACAATAGCTATTGTTCGAATATCTAACAAGTACTTTTCTAGCTATTAACAGAATATTTAAGATATATAGTATCGAAAAAAAAACTAAAACCTCTATATCTGAGAAAATATAAATTTATATATTTATCGAAAAATAGGTATATCTGTTTAATATGATTATACCAAGAGCATGAAATGATTTTCAGTAGACGAAAAATCATAGGGGATATGTATGTTAGAGGTGCCTTGCTACATCACGGAAATTATTGTTTTTCCACATATCATATTCCACAAGTGATCATAAATGTAGGTGAGTGGGATTTTGATGATATTGAAGGAGAATAAATAAAATTTAAAATTATCCACTTTGTTAGAAATTAGAATTAGAAAATTGTATTACCAATATTGTGATAGTTTATTTCTGTATATTGAAAATGATGTTGTTAGAACATTCATTGTCTGTTTCATTGTTCTATTCTCACTATTTATTTTCCTACTGAATGAAATCTACTGATCCAATTTCTTTTTATTTCCATATCCATAGTGAATGAAAAACTCCACAAACGATCAGATATCCACAAAATGTTTGACTCTACGGAGAAGTTTTATACACATTCCCACTTTCCACACATTTAACTTCATCAAAATATTGTCTGAGGTTTGTTAATCTGTGCCCATACTGATACTCAAGTATGCAGAGCTGTCACTTTCAATAAGATTGAAATATTTTATATCATTTAAATACTATTTTTCGATTTAAATACTTTTATCGATTCAAATTATTTGATCTAAAATCTTTTTACGGAAAGTTAATCCTGATTTGAAAATTAAATCTTTATAGACTTCGATTTTAAATGATATTAAATATTATTTAGATCCTTCAAAAATATATAAATATATCTTCGAAAAGATTTGAATCGGTTCGAAGTGATTCTTGCAAAGACGATTTGTAAATACCATATAGATGAGTTGGATACTTTCAAAAGGAGTATAATTACTAAAAAGTGATTTTAATATTTTCGATGATTGAAATCTGGTCCGCGGATGCTTCAAAGTTTTAAAAGACTAGATCTAAATACTATTGGAAGAAAGCTGCAAATTGTATCAATATTTCTGCAATATCGTTGTTATATTGATTATTTGGTTTTATGTATCTGTTTTGACTTATTTTCAATAAACCTTTTGAGTGAAGATAGAACTCATTTATTACAAAATCTATTATTATACAGGCATTAACGATGTTTTTCTTAAAATTTCCTCTCAAAAAATACATATTTTGATTTAATAATAAATAATACCAATAAGAAACGGTAGCAGTAATAACTACTGATGAATGATGTTAATAGTTCAGAGCTAAATCAACAAAAAGGATTCATTTCAATTTTAATTATTTAAATAAAAAGATTTGAATCCGTTCAAATCTCAAATGATTTTTCATCTGAATATTTCTTATAGTTGTTGTTGTTGTTGTTCTTATATTTATAAATATAGAAAATTGTGCCCTGAATATAAATCTTCCACTTCAATATCTCCAGTTCTGTACGCAGCTTTATGAATATCAATCGTTTTCTTTGATTTTTCTTGTGAAATCGATGAAAAATATCATATCAGGTCCGATGATCGAAGCGCTAGACACATCCTTATTCGAGCGGTTGGTCTACTAGTCACTTCGTTTCAACTGACAACCCTGCATGTTTTGACGAGATGACGTCACTCTCAACTCAAAGTAAAAATCATATACAATGAAAAAACGTATTTTGTGTATTCTTGAACACAGTAACCACACATCTATATTCGAATGAACATACATTGTTGCGTACACCTTCTGAATGTAAGGAAACTTACCGGGGATGCACTGGTAGTGAGCTTCGAGATATTTGTGAGTACCAACACAAGGATCTCCGAACATGCTGGTACTCGCTGGTATGCTGCAGTTTTGGTTATGGGTACACCTAAAGAACATCCCGAAAAAAGAAAAACGATGTAGGACATACATTCAGAGAGACTAGTATGTTGCTTTCTGTACCTGACAATATTGTATGTTTGGGTTTCAAATTGAAACAAATTTATTGACGTGGTTGAAACAAAAAATACCGTACCTTGTTGTGCCATTTTTCAATACGAATATATTCATTTCAGTAGCTACATCCTCCTATCATTATCTAGCTGTATAATACAACAAGATCATGTATAATTCTAATGACATTCCTATATAGCTAAACTATGCTACGACTAACAGTATATTGTTCAACAGCGTATAATGAGGGCTATTACTCAAGAGATGAAAATTGCAGTATACGAGTCGAATACATTTTCTTCTACTGAAACATTGAAAGGAGTAAAATTCTTGAATGGACAATCTCATCAGGATTTATCCCATTGGGTTTCTTCCATCCCACCGATTGAGTTCGAGAGCATCCCGCGATGCCCAATTCCCACGATGCCCATCTTCCACGATGCCCAATTCCTACGATGCCTAATTCTCACCATGCCCACCTTCTTTGGATTCCCACCATAATGAAGGTGGGCATGGTGGGAATTGGGCATCGTGGGCATGGTGGAAATCCAAGGAATTGTAATTTACAATGAGTTCAGTGCCGAAAACATGTTCGTTCAACATTCCATTGCAATGTTGCCAGTAGTTCCGAGTAGTAGTTATAAAATGTCACTTTTCATAAATTACTTTTTTCCCGTGGGAAACAAGTGAGTACTTTTTTCCCGAATATATATCACATATATATACACTGTTGATGGCTTTTGTTGTGCTATAGTTCCGAAAAATGAGTCAATAATACCGTCTCCGAGAAGGAACTGCAAGTCCTTTTATCTTCCATTCGACTTCGCGGTTACGTATATTACTAAACAACCACTAAATTCGCAATTTTTTTAAATCAAATCACAGAATTAGACTGACAGAAGTGACATCAGATATTTGATTACTTCAAAAGAATGATAAAGATGCCTACAACGCAGGTGTCCGTACTGTTAAAAACTTAAAATTTCACGGCGATAATTTTCAGATTTCAAAATAATGTAATATCTTCTCAATATTGATTCGTCCTTTCTTAATAGTGTATTATACACGGGAAAAATATTAGATTTTAGCTCACGGTTTCTTGTCTCCCTCCGCTACGCGTCGGGAGACAACACAACTTTTTTCCCTTGTATAATAAATAACTATTTCAACAGCTTCTATCTTGAACACGGATGCCGTTACGAAATTTTTTCACCAAGCAAACCCAACTTATTTCGCACTGTTCTACGCCATCTTTTTCGAAACAAAGACTGTAAGGATAACAAATGTTAAATGCTGAAATATTTTGGTTTTCCTATGAAAGACCCTGTATATGAATATTATATTATCTTCATTTCATGTAGCATAGGTGAGTATAAATAAACAATTGACCTTGTAATTAATATTATGTCGCGTTTATTCTAGAAACCAGAGCATCCTGGGATGGAATATTCTCTTATCGCATAAGAAACAAAAGCTCATTGTTTGGGCCCCTGTCTAGGCCTTGTGCGATTCATTTCATAATGAGACATAATTAATTCTCTCGGAAGAGTCGGAAGACATTCAACGTGATAATATACAATCTGAATTGTTTGTAATTGGAATGAAAGTCTTTGGAAGCGGTGACTTTCATCCCCAAAACACGATGTTTATGTTTTATTGTTTCGTCAATGTAGGCTGTAGGCGGATTTTCACCAAGCATGTTTTTCTAAGGATGTTATGTCTGCACCACTGTCAACAAGCAGATCTACGGGACGGGAACAGTGGATGATAATTAGGGGAATTGGAAATGATCCAAAGTTCTCAAGGTCTGAGGAAGACAATTCAAATTTACGAAAATTGGTTTTTGTATTTTCTGTTTTCATGAGAATAAAAAACGATTTTACAAATGAGGTACAACAGAGTGCCCTATTTTCTTTGTCCTTACGGCTTACGGGATATATCGCTGTTTTTAGAGATATACAGGGTGTTCCTAGGGATTCATACATTCAATGAAATAACATTACATCAACAAATTTCATAAATTTATCACAAAACGCGACCTCTATGGATTGGTTTTGGGTTTGCACTAGGGCCTTGCGATATTGAAAACTTGATATCGATATCGATGTAGGCTTTGGTATCGATATATATCGAGAAATGTATCGATATATCGAATAACGATATCATAAAAAATATCGATATATCGATAGATAAATATCGATATACATATTGATATATCGATAGATAAATATCGATATACATATCGATTTATCGATATTTGTTTGATGATATCGTTATTCGATATATCGATATTTTTGCACAGCCCTAGTTTGCACAACTATTAACTCGGTACTCAGGGATTCCCCTTTAACTCTGCCCCTTATAACCGAACTCAAAATGTCATAATAGCTATTTATATACAGTGTGTCCCACTTACCATGCTCACCATGGGTATTTTTTTAACGGTGAGAGATACGAGGACGCTTAAATGACACCAAATGTTGAGTTTGTCAAGGCCAACTATAATGTGAGAAAATATTTTGATAAAGTCTATTCGTTTTTGATTTATACGCAAAAAACAGATTTTGATAATTTTCATGTCTCCTCCATAACTTCTTTATTTATGAAAATATTCAAATAGGAATTTCACATTATCATGGCAGTTTTTCGAAGTGATTTCGAACAAATATGAAATTTATACCAACTCTTCTAGAATTTGAGATATCAGCACCAACTTCAGTTTTTCAAATGTAGGCCATAGCCGAGGCCATAGCTCACTATGACTTAGTTACAAATAACTTTTTTTTCTCTTACAGATGATGTGTCGCAATAATAGTTTTGTGTTGATAACAACGGAGTTATCGTCATTTATAAAAAACAAAAAATTATTTGGAAGCCGCCATCTTGAATTTATAGATTTCAACAAAAAAATCATGATCTACGACCTCAAAAACCCCCACTTACCAATTTTGAATGGAATCGGGCCAAATCTTGTGCGCCATCTTGGAGCAGCCATTTTTTTTTATTTCAACAAAAATTCCATAATGTATTGTCACCGAAATTATAAACACCTGCCAAATTTCAAGTAAATCGGACGACCAGAAGTGACAATACATTATGGAATTTTTGTTGAAATTAAAAAAAAAAATGGCTGCTTCAAGATGACGGACAAGATTTGATTCGATTCCTTTCAAAATTGGTGAGTGAGGGTTTTCGAGGTCGGAGATCATGATTTCTTCGTTAAAATTTATAAATTCAAGATGGCGGCTTCCAAATAATTTTTTGTTTTTGTATAAATGACGATAACTGCGTTGTTATCAACACAAAACTATTACTGCGACACATCATCTGTAAGAGAAAAAAAAGTTATTTGTAACTAAGTCATAATGAGCTATGACCTACATTTGAAAAACTGAAGTTGGTGCTGATATCTCAAATTCTAGAAGAGTTGGTATAAATTTCATATTTTTTTTCGAAATCACTTCGAAAAACTGCCATGAGAATGTGAAATTCCTATTTGAATATTTTCATAAATAAAGAAGTAACGGAGGAGACATGAAAATGATCAAAATCTGTTTTTTGCGTATAAAACAAAAACGAATAGATTTTATCAAGATATTTTTTCACATTATAGTTGGCCTTGACAAACTCCACATTTGGTGTCATTTAACCGACCTCGTATCTCTCACCGTTAAAAAGATACCCATGGTGAGCATGGTAAGTGGGACACACTGTATAAAGGGAGTAAAGCTATCAATTTCCTCCCGCGTGTGAAGTTTGATGCTCGACGCGTAGCGGAGGTCAATAAACACACATGGGAGGAAATGAACCTTTGCTCCCAAGATATAATATATGATTTCATCCACGAACGCACATATTTGAGAGAGTATTTCTCAAAATTGTACTTCAGGTGGTCTATCTCTCGAGCCTCGTTCCAAACATCAAATCAATGGGTTATAAAAGTGTAGTATGCCATGAGTAAGTTTGGAATATGAGGAAGTGTATGAGATCATTGGAGTTCAAAATGGAAATTGTTATTTTATATTTGAGACACTGATTATGTACTTGGTAAAGATCTTATACGTATATCTCTATCAAAGAAGCCAGCTGAAGCCAATTTATTTCACCTCTCACGGGAGGTTTGTGTCCTTATATGAGGGAGCAAACGCTTACTTTCAATGCAGGAAGTAGATAATAGTAGATTGTTTCATTAGGATCAAAAGTGATAAGCAAAATTTGCGAGTCAAATAAAGTCACTTTTGATCCGAATTAAACATGCTATTGTTTCTGCAACCGAATTGGAATTAACTGAAATAAATATGTGAAGTAACCATCAATGTGACCTACTTGACAGATTATTATAATACCTTTATTATAATAAGCAAGACCTCAGACTACTTTACATTAAAATATTGGTGGACGATGTCTTTACTTTGTTACATTTTTTGTTGACATACATCAGCAGATACTACAGGCACGAATTCAATACTATACGAGAAACGTGGATGCCGTGCAACAAATAATCCGTGTAGTGAGAATATTCTACCTGCATTTACAGATCAAGTTTATTCAATTTTCGAGAATGTTCGAATTGTAGTTTCAATATAAATACAACCACAGAGTGACCCGTTTGTGTATTCTATTGAAACGATGAATCGATGAATTCATTTGGACCAGGTGTCAGCCCTAATAGCAAATACCGCGCCAGTACCAGGTATAGGAAAAAGATGTGGCAAATGTTAGGTTAGTGAGCATTTCGACAATAATAATAGCGGTTATTTTTTTCTCTCCATATTCCACTGTGTTTGGCTGGGTAATCGAATAAAGGTAAACAATATCGTTGTGTGGGACAAAAAAGTATTGCTGGCCGTGATTATTCAAGAAGTTATTCAATCAATGAGTTCCCGAGAATGAATGAAATACAGATCAAGCAAGAATCTTGAAAGATTTACTGAT